TTGTGAAGTGTGCACCCGATGAAAATGAAGTCTGCACCCTCCTTTTCTCAATAGTGTGCACCCCCTTTCTCAAAAAGCTGTATCCGCCCCTGTACTCGCGTAAATAGAAATAAAATGGTTTGGGGCGTTTATTTGTTTATTACTTCATTAAAATAGGTAGTTTTAACAAATATTAAAATAACTATGTTTTTTCCCAACTAGGCCTTTTGATTTGATCCTCTAATCATCATCCAAAATACCATTTTACATGTAAAAAAAAAAAGTAACAAAAAGTTCCATATCAGCAAATTTAGAAACATGTTATAACCTACGTCACAATCAACAATGGGTGGTAATAACTACCTGCAGCACTGTTTAGACGGGAAGATGCATTTGCACGCGCGTTGCCATAGCGACTGTGCAATTGACAATCAAAGCTTTGAATGAACTCTATGAAAATAGTAGAACTTTAACAAGAGTACAGGCATGAAAAATGTACTGAGAAAACCCGTCAATCAATTATTTCATTTTTGTAGATCAATTAGGATAAAAGAAATAAAGAATAAATGGTATATGACGTGTTTAATACAATAAAGAATGTCCGTGAACCTAAGGAGAGTACATCTCATTTGCATACCATAGCTTGCATCAGAAACGTACATTTTGACATTGAAATTTCAACTGCTAAAAATGACACGATTTGCTCTCCTGTAAACTACTTCGAATGATTTTACAAAAAGTGTTAAAACACGATAGTCATAGAATATTTAATTATTAAACTTTAGTTGTATTCAAAACTACGAAATAACGCCAAAAAGCAGTTTTGACAGTTTCTTCTATTTAAAAAAAAAAAAAATTATGTTTATTTCCAAATTTTACATAGTACATGAAGAATGCATTCACATAAGTATATTTATATAAATATTCATATACAATATATCAAGTATATTCAATACACTTTCACAAATCCTCCTCATACAATGAATAGACGTCTTTGAATATGTTTTGTATAACTTATCTCAGTGATTCCAATACTAATAATAGTATTTAAATACATTTATTATATGTTTTCTGACCTAGTATTTTCTGTAAATAGATTGTGAAAAGATGACCTGAAGGTAAAAAACACACTGCTGCTGCATGTAGAGTACGCATTATATTTTGTAATTTCATAGTATTTTGATACCTCGCTTACTACATGTTTGAAATTTGGAACTTGTTCTTTTATTTTGTGTGTGTATATTACCTGTTTCACAACAAGACCTATTGCATTTAAAGAATTATTGTTTTCCCCTTGAAATCCAAGTAAGATGTTTTCTGGTGTAAAGTCAATGTTACCTTCAGTTACAGTCATCAGCCATCTGGTCAAACTCTCCCAAATCTTTTTAACATGACAACAATTACAGAGTAGATGGACAATTGTTTCTAGTTCCTTTGAACAGTTTCTTCTTGAGATTGATAATTGAGCCAAGTTTCGTAAGAATGTCGCTTTCCAACACGGTTAGGCGAGAAAGCGTGGCTTCAGCCACTTCCCGACGCAACTGTTAAGCATAAGCAAAGCGAACGTAAGTCAGGTTCAAGGGACGCAACTCTGCACATGTTATTGGAGACACACAAAGATCAGGGTTAGTATTGGTCTTCAGGAACTCGTGACTGACGAGATCGGGTGGCGGGTGGCGGGGCTTGCTGACTTTGTTGATGCATGTCATTGTATCCCAGTTGCGAACATGGATGTTCATGTAATCAATCACTGGATTGTATGGTCCAGGCTCGATTATTTACAGTGCGGCATCTAGTTGCTGAAATATTGCCGAGTCCTGCCTTAAACTAACAGGCAGTGAGTGAGTGAGTTGAGGATTATGGTCACATTGGTAATATTTCAGCCATTTCGTGACTAAAACAAGTTATTCATTCATAGCGTTTAACAAACAAACATCGAATATCGCAGCGTCTAAGACGACTGTGGCCCCTATTTCAGCCATTTTGTGACTAAAACAAGTTATTAATTCATAGCGTTTAACAAACAAACATCGAATATCGCAGCGTCTGAGACGACTGTGGCCCCCGTTCCCCGAGCTGAAATATACTCTGGCGTATTTGAATATAGAACATACGGAAAGGATATAGAACAGGCTGAGTGTAAGTATGAGATCAAGGACGTGCTATAATAATCCTTCCCATTGATAAGTGTGGGTGAAGGAGTTTAGTTTTACGCCGCACTCAGCAATATTCCAGCTTTATGGCGGCGGTCTGGAAATAATCCAGTCTGGACCAGACAATCCAGTGATTAACATCATGAGCAGCAATCTACACAGTTGGGATACGGTGACATGTGTCAACCAAGTCAGCGAGCCTGACACCCGATCCCGTTAGTCGCCTCGTACGACAAGCATGGGTTACTGAAGATCAATGCTAACTTAGATCTTATGGTGACTGATTAGGGCCATAGCTTTCTCGCCTTAAAATTCTGCCGCGAGAAAGCGAGAAAGCGATATAACAAGCCGATAAGGGATAGAGCGCGAGAAAGCGATATTTCCCATAATTCGGCCCTGTCTGCACATGACGTCTTGCCTGCGTACTTAATCCAAGAGGCTTTATCGCCATTTGTTTTAGTCGTATAGAAACAAAATGCACATGCTTTCATATTCTGTGGCATTTTTGTAATTGATCCTTTAACTTGTCCAAACAGTAATCTAACAGTAACTCCAGAAATGGAATGTGTTTTCGTTGAAATAAATGAGTGCTCTTAAAAGGTCTGTAAAATGATAACAATCATTATTGCTACATCACTAATCAGGCCTGGATTAATTCCCGGCCTACATTTCTTTATTGGCATTTCCCTTGTGAAATACTGCCATTGTTATCTCATAATTCATGCATGGATTAACAATCCCTGGCTTCCATTTGTCCATCCACCCTACCAATTTAGCGCTAATCAACTACTAGTACTAGGGCAGGAAACAAACCCATTTTTGGGGGGTGACTTGATCAAATTGAGAGGTATACATGATCTATATATCAAATTAAAGCTGAGGACCTATAGAATGATATTAGACATGATGTGGAAATATTCGCGTGGTAAAACCAGATTTTGCGTCAAAAACACTAAAAATCATAATTTTCCAAATATCTTTAATAATTTTCAAACTATTGACCCCATTCAAACAAATTCCCCATCAAATGAAAGGTTATTCTCTGTACAATAGAAAAATAATAGTGGGTCAAAAATGTAATTTTCGGTCCTCCTCTTTGACAATATTTTCCAGGTATGATACGGTAGAATAATAATAAATTTAATTGTTATAATTTCAAAATTACCTTTTAATCACTCACCACTATCATCATTACAGATAAAGATACATTGATATCTCTATGATAGAACATCATTAAAGATACTGAATTATAAGTGTAATGTGTTAGGAACCAACAATCCTTCAAACTCGATTCATTTGCATTTCTTTTTGTAAAGCAATAGTATGTCTTGTGTTAAAGGTTATTGTAATAACAACTTGGAGAAGGAATAAGCTCAAATATGAACTCAAACAATTATACTGACCAAGCATTCCATACTGGACTCGTCCAATTTCAGGTTTAGTTACACATCAGATCAGGTTTAGTTACACATGAGATCAAAGTTTGTTGCTTTTTTCGGTAAGAATTCCTCCATCCCAAATAATATGTATAGTTAATATATCCTAAAATTATTAACAAAACCTAACACAACAATTACTAGAGATCTCACAAAAATACCTAAAAGCCCAAAAATTAATTACAATATATAGGGTCGAACCACGTTGTATGATAAGGGCCCAAGGCACGGTGATGTTACAAACAAATATGGAGGAACGGAAGGAAGTCTTTCCCTTTCTTCAGTTTCAAAGTTCTATTTTACAATCTTCATGCCATACATCAAATAGATTTATGATTATTACACAGGTCATTCTTCATTGTCACTGGTTACCTTCACCAAGATCATTCATGGGGTTAGTGCAATTTTGTCCACCCTGTCCTTGCAAGGACACAGTTCAATACAAGGCAGATTGCTCTGTCTACAAATGCACTACACTGAGGAGCATGGGGACTTGCAACAGGTGCAAACAAGGCAGTCAAGAACTTCCGAAGCAGTTGATCGGATCGGATGACATATCTCAGCCAGTAAAGGCATGGATTCTTTGCAAAGCAAATGAAATTGATGATCCAAGAAGATGACAGATGTTACGGACAGGAATGAACCGGTGCTTGTCCGTGACTGCAGAAGACACTCCAGTTTTCACGGACATGCTCCATTTGTGGACAATAGCAGATATATAGTATGAAAACATCTGTATCAGGGGACTTGATGATGATATGTCCTTGGGTATGACTCTCTTCAAACTCACCATTACAGTACATGACGTGGAAGAGCATGCGTGTATCAGCTTTTTCTTGAGAACATTCAAGTTTATCAATGCAAGCATCACCAGTGGGAGGGATCAACTTGGTCACCATTCCATCTTCATATCTTCCTGAGAGATACAATCTTCCTTGTGGTTCCGTTGACATTGTAGCAACTTGGACTTTGGTTCACAAAACGTAGTTAACTGTGACATGTTCTTAGATACACCAAGAAAATTGTTCCACTGTGGAATCTGTCTGCCTGATGACATTTGATACTTCTTGCCGGTGTTGAGGTCAGCTCTTGAGGAACGTTCTGCAGACTTAGTGGAGTTGGGATTGCCATACTGGTCGAACATATCTATGGCAGTATCAGCCCTTGTGAAACAGTGCTTCATATTTCGCATATAACTGTCAGCGACTCTATATAAGGTGAGGGTGATGGCAGGTTTCATACTTCTCAATACTGCCACTGCATCGCAAATGTGGACAGTGTCTTTCTTGTCAAAGTCTGGTAAAGTGTCAACACTCAACAATTTCTTCTAATTTGTCTGTCAAATCGGCATTGGATGTCTTCCTCCTTGATCCATCTTCGTTGAAAAGTAATGTAGGAACTGATACTATGGGATGTGCGAGAACCGTGGCCATTGTGACATCATCCCAACAATCTGTCAGACATAATTCTGCGCGCAAATGCACAAATCGAACAGTCCCATCTTCACTAAGAAACATCTGTGATAAAGCAAATCCTGACCACAAAGATCATTTCCAAACAACTGCACAAGTCTGGTAAAAACATCGTCTTGGCACAATTGAGCAGTGATTGTAATTCTCCAGGTGATAAATTTGTTTGAGCACTAATTATGATGCAGTACTCAGCAGATGAATGTTTACTCTTTTGGACTTGGTACCTTTGAGTCCATTTCTCTTTGAAGTTAACCTGAAATAAGAAAAGTTTCATCATTAAATCTTCTTACGTTTATTAACAGTAGAAAATATTTCATAAAGACAATGGGTGGTGGGGTACTACAGTGGTTAAGGCGTTCGCTCATCATGCTGAAGACCCAGGTTCGATTCCACACATGGGTACAATGTGTGAAGCCCATTTCTGGTGTCCCCTGCCGTGATATTGCTGAAATATTGCTAAAAGCAGCATAAAACTAAACTCATAAAGAGAATTCCTTTCTTAAACATAAAAGGTCATTAAAATTTGGGTTAAGAGCAACATTAAAGTAAATACGTCTTATAAATAAAGGTAGGATTTTATCAATAAATAAGTCAATGTATGTGTAACTTCTGTGATACTATATATATATATATATATATATATATATCTAAAAGACTCATGAGGGAGTGATCTTTTTTGGTATTGTCCTAACTTCACTGGCTTTGGCTCCATTTCTTCAAAGATTTAAAATATATCATTGTTACAGGGAGGAAAACATTTCATGAAAAGAAATGCACTTCTTAAACACAAAATTTCATTTTGACACAACAAAATACGTGATTTTTTGTGATATTTAAAATTCGTTATAAAAAAAAGAGAGTTAGGATCTCATCACTGAATAAGTGACTGTATGCGAAACTACTGTGAAATACATACATACCTAAAAGGTACATGAAAGTCTTCAATTTTGGACTTGACCTATCTTGACAGAATTGGGCACTTATGTATCTGTATTCCATGTGCACCTGAAATAAGACAAAGTTTAATCATTAAATCTGTTTACATTCGAAATGTATCAATAAAAACAAGCGAAAAACTATTCTAAAAAGGGAAATGTCTTTTTTAAAAATACAAGCTTTCATTATGATGCTACATGAAAATGATAGCAATTTTAATTTTTTTTATGTACATTGTATTTGAAAAAATCAAGATATTATTAATAAATAAAAGAATGTATGTGAAACTACTAAAGGTAAAACTTTAACAAATAAATAAATGTAGTGCGCAGTTTTGAAAACAACAACTTTGCAATCAATATTTTTGTAAAATTTTACACACAAAATTTTAAAAAAAATTAAAAGGTATTTTAGTGAAAGAAATTTTTGACAGCATGCACATATTGAATTATATCTATGTTTATCAAAATAATTAAATAATGTCAAATTATAAGTTTGTGTTTATATTTGGGGAAAAAAATATATACAAATTATGTTTGGGGAAATTATATACGTTAAGGAAGAAAATTATAAATATTCATTTATACATTTTTATAATCAACATATGTTCTTTCAAAATCACTTCAAAACATATTTATTGCTAAAATTGGTGTGTTTTTGTAGTTGAGGTTCACAATCGGGTAATACTATGTTGTAGGAAAAATTGCTTACATGTTTAGGTCACATGCTTACACTGACCAGGCATTTTATACAGGGTGGCCCTCTTAGGGTTTCAGAATGTTATCAGTACATGCTTTCAAAACTTCTTTGAAAAAGAATCATCAAAAACCTAATACAATCATAATTTTTTGATATTTGAAATATAATTGGACCACAAAAGAAAGATAAAACATAATATTCTCTGAATAGGATTTGATGGATATTTTCATCCTTAAAATGGCCTCTCAAGGAGTTTCATCAGTTAAAACTTTAGAGTTAGTTATCTTGAAATCTGTCAATGAAACAGTTGACTTTAAACATGTAAAATGCCATGAAAATACCTTAGAATATCAGGTACAATAACAAATTACCTATTTGAAATGCATTTCAAAATTTTATCATCAAACAAGATTAGTGCATAACTAACCCACAGGTAATCTTCTGTAATTTCTAACATTGAAACATAAGGTTCTGTGGAAATGTAAACAATTAGAAAACAACTTACCTCAACAATGATATTGAAGAAATCTGAAGACTTGTCAATGCTTCGAATGAAAATCTTTGGAAAAAGATCTAACAAGCTGTCAAGTTCCAAATGTCAACACAGCTAGGACAGGAAGTGGTCTCAGCAGACTGCAGGAAGTACTAGTAGTACCGTTTTCTTGATGACTCATTTTATGGCAGAGTTTCTCTACAGACTTTATTGGCTTGACATAAAAATGTTTTACAAGAAAATGTCCACATAAATTTCACCTCATCATTTCTTTCCTTAATACTAAGATCACAATCTTTCATTTCATGTATAGATTGTGTATACCTCTCTGAGATATCAAAAACAAATGGTTTTGAAGGAATATCAGGTTTGTGTCCTGCCCTATACTGGCTTCCCCTGTTATCTTCTCACTGTTGCTTCAAATGTACGTATATAGCTTTCTGTTTCCTAGTTTCTTCATTCACCCGATGAAGGAGTAAGAATATACTCCGTAACATCGTGTTCCAGACCGCCTCCGTGGTGTAGTGGTTAGAGCATCCGGCCGGAGAGCGGAAGGTCGCGGGTTCGATCCCCGAACGCGTCATACCAAAAGACGTTAAAATATGGTACTTGCTGGTCCCTGCCTGGCGCTCGGCATTAATGGGTACAACAAGGACTGGTCGGCTCGGAGTCAGTATAATGTGTCTGAGTGGGGTATTCATGCTTCACTGTGGCATGGTATCTCAGTGGGCTAGGACTATAAAACCAGCTTCAGTCTGGGCTAGTACAAGCAGCCGCACATACACATACACACGCATGCACGTCGTCATATGAGCGAAATATTCTCAAGCACGACGTTAAACCCAATTTCACCTCACCTCACGTCACATCGTGTTCCACAACTGTTGCTGATAAGCTAAGAAGGAGCCAACTAAATAGATGAAAAGGGGTTGAATTTAAGGTTAAATGTTAAAAAGAGGGGCTGGGGAGGCAGGGCACGGTGTTTATGTTTTGGTTGTGAAACGTGGGGAGTGGGGCCTTGATGTGAGTTATTCTTGATAATTGAGTTTATACTGTAATCTATGGCTGGATAGAGATATTTAAAAGGATTTCTTCTGAATTTAAGGGTGCTCTTCCGGTGTTTTGATATTTTTTTGTTTTCAGGCCCAGTTTGGTAGTTTAGAGTGTTTGGTATCTTCTTTGTGTGATTGATGTGGAACTTGTCTTTTCGCCTATGGCTATTTTGAGGGCTTTATATTGTAAGGAGTTTAGTTTATCATAGTTGTCCACGTCCTGACAATGAACCCTGGGCCTATTGCGTAAACACCAGTCAACGTACTGAACAAACTTGACTCATGTCTATAGGTTACAGTCAGATTGTGAAATCAGTCATTTCGTGAAATGACTAAAAAATTCAGCCATTTCGTGAAATGACTAAGAGGATCAGCCATTTCGCTATTGGCTATATAAATAGGTTTGGACGTTTCCATGTGCTTGATAACGATTGCCAATGTTCGTGACGCACGAAACAAATCGCCAAAACGCATTTTGTGGCCCCGACTCTCAGAAACACGAAACACATGCCTTAGCCGGATATATGGGAAATGCTGCAGACTGGAATGCCCCAGGGTGAAGTTGCTAGACATTTTAACGTTCATCGGAGCACCATATCGTCTCTTTGGAGACGTTATAAGCAAAATGGCACACTCGCGACTGACGTCGATCCGGTTGTCCACGCGTGACGTCACGTCGGCATCTAAGGAATCTTGTTCATCTAAGGAATCGGTTTGAACCTGCAACTTTGACAGCTCGAAAGGTTCCTGGTTTGAGACCCATTAGTGGGAGGGCTGTAAGAAACCGTCTAAGAGAGCACAACACTCGACCCCGACAACCTGTAAGGTTCACACAACGAGACTGGAATCTTTCGAGCTGTTAAAGTTGCAGGTTGAAACCGATTCCTTAGATACAGATGAGACTCGATTTCACCTTGACATTTCAGATGGGCGAGCTAGGGTTTACAGACGTAATGGGGAACGTTACGCAGACGTGTGCATCACCCAACGTCGTTCATTTGGAAGTGAGGTGTAATGTTGTGGGGAAACATCTCACACCGTGGACGAACGGAAGTCGTTATTGTCCATCGCAATCTGACAGGTTTACGTTACCGAAACGAAATTATTGAACGTCACGTTGTGCCCTTCGTGCAAAACCATAGACCCGTTACTTTTCAGCATGACAATGCCCGTCCACACGTTGCACGTGTCTTTACAGACCATTTAAGGCAACAGAACATTGATGTTCTACCATGGCCAGCAGTTTCGCCAGACCTTTCACCCATGGAACATGTCTGGTATGAAATGGAGCGACGTCTACGTCAACAACCAAACCAGCAGTTGACGCTTGATGAATTGGGCCAATCTTTGGTGAACATTTGGAACAATATTCCTCAAGCGTTTTTTCAACCATCTTGTGTCTTCCATGCGTCGCCGTTGTGTGGCTTGCATCGATGCTGACGGGGGTCACACACGTTACTGACTTTGTGAATTGAGTTTTGATACCACAACTCTGCAGACGTGTGCCGCGCCCTTGGATGTTACCATGCTTAAGTTTCATTCATGAAATTTCCCTAATTAAACATTGATTTACCTGTTTACCAAATTTTATGTTGTTATTATAATTATTAACAAAATTATAGTACATTATATAAAGCACAGTTACTTTTTTCCGCTAGTATAATTCAAAGAAACTACAGCTGTATTTGTTATCACCCTGAAATACAATAAAGTGATATAAACATAAATGGTTAAGTTCCCATGCCTCATTTCTAATTCCTGGCACCCATGAAGGGCCACCTCCTCGTGGTGGGTGCTGGGTAACGCTAAGCGCCCTTCAACCCCCCGTTGTGGACCCGGGGGGATATTTGGTCCACCAACCCGTTTGCCGTGGGTTGCACCCCTGTGTCGGTGGAGGACAGGAGGCTGGTGGTTGAGGGCACTGGGAGCCTGGAGCCGTGTTCCTTTTGCCCAACACACCACTTCGCCCCTTACTTCACCTAGACGGGTGGTGGAACTGGCCCGGTTCCATCAATCGGCTGGTCACGCCATGCCCTGTGCATGGACATGTTCATGTTGACATTATTTTGCTTACTTTGTATGTTGACGCTGAATATTGTGCTTATTCTATTGTCATTATAATATTTGCCTAGAGTCCTATGTCAGAAGGCGGTGGCTCATGGGCCAATCTGGTGATATTGACCCCTGAATTCTATGTTTCTTGAGAGATGTGTCATGGGCCGAACCAGCCTGGCACATGTTCTTTTGGATATCATAGCTATTCATGTCTTTATTTACTGGAGTATGACATCTCTGTAGCTCTGGTGTTACAGCCTGGCTTCCGCTGTAACGTCGTCCTTGTTGACACTCCATGGCGGGTGGGGAGCAGAGATGTTGAATATATTTTTTATCATCCAAAACTGTGTTCCACAGGAGATATCGCTTGTGTGAGATCAAACGATATCTCCTAGGAGATATCGTTCTGACAGTAGATTTTGTACAATGCCCTGACAATGCTATGACGTCATGTACTTGATGACGTCACAATGCTATGACATCGCTGCACTGCAAGTCTAATGGCAGCACCATGTTCAGAGATGTACATTTTTCATTGAAAATTAATGAAGAGTGATTTTGGATGATAAATAGAATCTCACCCTCGTGTCTTCTGATATCATATATATCAACACTCGTTGATAAAAGTAAAAATATCCTCGGCAAGCCTCGGATATTTGTAACTTTATCAACTCGTGTTGATATAATTGATATCAGAAGACACTTGGGTGAGATTCTCTATATCCCATCATGTCTCTCCACAATCAATCTGGTTCTTCAAAAGCTAACAAACGTCGACATGTTGATTCTGATGATGAAATATCAACGGAAAAACTCTGATTCTTGGCCTAGGTTTATCGTTGTTGCTTCTGCTGACGGTACTCCATTGAAACTCAACCCTTTTGCTATCTCCAAAGGCATTGAAGGTGCCTGCGGAGAAGTTAAGAATGTTACCTTCCTCCGAAATGGTTCACTGTTAGTGGAATGTGCTCGGAGGCAACAATCAACCTGCTTGGTCTTAAGCAGTTTGTTAATACAAGTTGTTGTCTCGGTGCACAGAACACTGAACTCCAGTAGAGGAATTGTTAGGGATCGGGCAAAGTGTCTTACGTTCATGAGTGAGGAGAAATTGTAGCTGAATTGGGAAGTCAAGGTGTTACAGCTGTGAAGCGTTTCACCAAAAAACAAGAAAACAGTATAATAAAAACAAATACCTACCTGTTTACATTCAACTGTCCGACCATTCCAAAGTCTATTAAAGCCGGCTATTTCAATATTGCAGTGGACGTATACATACCTAATCCACTCAGATGTTACAAATGCCAAAGATTTGGACATGGCGCTAAGAATCTTGTCATGCAAAGAATGCTGTTTGTTACCGTTGCGGTGGCACTCATGAGGAGTTCTGAGTGTACAAATGAATCACCCACATGTGTCAACTGTGGCGGAGAACATGCAGCCTCTTCCAAATCATGTCCTGTCTTTTGAACGAGAGTCAAAAATACTGAAAATTAAATATACTAACAATGTTTCATATCATGAAGCTAAAAGTTAGTTTCTGTTCCTTCTCAGACTTCTTCTATTTCTTACTCAGCTGTAGTTTCCTCTTCTCCTATGCCTGTTGTCAAACCTTCCGGAGTTTCTACTCATTGCCAAACGTTGATCAGTTGGGTGAATGATGATCAGATCATTCTGGAACAAGTTTCCTCTGTACCAGGCACGTCAGTATCCAAAAACACAAACGGATGTTCAACTGACACAAAACTCAGAACCAGAAAATGTTACAAGAGATAACTCAGTGCACTTAACAAAAGCAGAACGAAACAGATGAGAGAGAGGGGCCAGGCCCTCAAACCTTGGAAGTGCCTTCTTCTCCCTCATCCCCACAACGGTTCAAAATCGTTTTGAACCTTTAGACATGGAGGTCAGCCCTCCAGTCTCTACTCATAGGAGTAGGCAAGCATCACGTTCTCCAGTTAAACCACCATGAACGGTTATCAACAAGTAATCCAGTGGAAC